GACTCCAGTCTAGAAAACTGAGATTAACGGCCGTGAGGATCTGTTGTGCTGACCACACAACATCCTCCATCTACTAAAGTTGGCACTAACTTTGCTGACAAGTGGCGGTCGCTGGGTCGGTACAGTTTGCTTGCGGACTACAGGCCACGGAGTCTGTCTATGGTCATATCTGCGTGAACGAAGACGTATGTTATCAACATACTCAAGGTCTTCCAGTGAGTTCATCCATTTCCACGCAACTCCTCTCATTTTGTCTGATTTCAAAATTAGAGTGCAAGCCAACTTACACACAAATTTAGAGATGAGAGAGGTGAATATAATTTTGAGAACTTTACACTCAATACCAGCATAAACTGAAAATTGAAAGTGGCCAGATATGCTTATCCCAAGTTCACAACCATGTGAAGAAGTTCACATGGTGAATGTGTGATAGTAAATGTGTTGACTGGTACATGTATTATCTCAGGAATCAAACTGTGTGGCACCCACTACCCACCAGATATTGAAACCAGGCTCTCCATGGACCAGACAGCATGTAAAACTACTGCCCACATTCAGTGCCAAAACAGAAACACACTGAGTTACCCAAAAGTCTTGATTAAGAGCTTCTCAATCTGTGATGCAAGTAACAGTGATGGCAGTGTACTTGCTGAATGAGAGGTGTGATTTTGCAGTTCACTATAAATAATTTTCATTCTGTGGTGAATCCTCATAGGTTATATACCTTATGCTTCTTTTCACCACCCTGTTCCAACCACCTCTGTAGGATACTTAACTTTACATCCAGTAGGCACCAGAGGTATTCTCCCTGGGGTAGAATGGCTGTGGCATGAAGCTGACCATTAAACTTCATCTAGATGTAGAATGTGCAGAGTTTCACGTATTTGCCTCCTATACATCTATATGATGCGGTATTTCTGAACAAGTAAAATTTTATATTTTATGCCTTCTGTCACCAACCATCTGTTGACTTTTACCTCAAAATGATCTGCATGGTGATAATGCACAGATGATACTTCCTACCTTCATATCTATCACTACCAAAAATCAGATAACATATCACGCAATCAACATTCCAGTTCCTCCCCATGGCGTATGACTTCCATGAACACCTTCCTGCGACTATTAATGAAATATCATCCCTTGCAGCAAAACAGTTTCAAGTTAATCATCTATATACAACATGAGAACATTACTTGACATGCTATTAACCAGTCAAGTGGTTATGACGTCTACAGACGTCACGCAGTACAATTTATTATAGTAGCCACAATGTCCTCAGGCATCACACATGTTTCTAACTACTCCACTGTACATATAATTTCAGTCAGCAATGGAAACTTGTGTGTTGTGCTTGCAAGATGTTCCAGCTACTTCAAAATGTGACAGGAAGTTGATGACTGGTTGACAGATGTCCTGGGTTTGAGTTCTCTCAAGTAAACATTATGGCAGGTCCTAGTAAGAAGATGTATGTAAGTCATGAGAAAGTGTTTTATGAACTGTTACAAGAGAATTAATGGGACATGCAGTAGTATAGTTGGTTGAGGCACTATTCTACAAGCTAGAAAGTTGTGGGTTCAAGTCCCAATTAGGTATTTTTTTTTTAATTTACCTAATCCTTCCAGCCGCACTATGGCCCTGGGATTGACTAAGCCTCTAACAGAAATAAGTACCAGGAATCTTCCTGGGGGGTAAAGGGCAACTGGTATGTAAGGCTGACAACCCTACTGCCATCTGTGAGCCAACTGTCTTGAGAAAATGTGGGAGTGCTTGTCCACACAGCAATAAGAAAGTGTGTTTATCAATGAGGGATCCACAGTGTCAAAATAGGCAAAGTTGGGAGTGTGTGTGTGTGTGTGTTTTTGCAAGACAGATCTGTCAGGGGACTACTGTGATCATGTTTCATTTCTAAACATCACAGGCCAGTCAAGACCATATATACAGAATGTGAATGACTCAGGTATACTATGAGACTGCGCAGTCTGAACGGAAAAGAAAGTTAGTGGCGACAGTGGTGGATTTTTGAGAATAAAGCAAGAGTATGGAATTTTACTAAAAATATATATAAATTTCAATGTAATGGTTATAGGAATGAAAATAAAGGTACGTGAAGCCTGATATATGGCCTTTCAGAGGCTTTTTGTTTCATAATTTTATGATGAGACATGACTGAGATGCATACTGTTTTAAACAGGGTGAAAAATTATAAAATTAAATGCTGCAGTGACAAATTTAAATGCCCAGGAGAATTTAATGTGCCACTGCAGGAAAGATAAGAACATGGAAAAGAACCACTTGACTGGTTAAGTCATATTTTTGGAATATTTGTTAGCTAAATGTTGGATGACTAAGGAACTGGTGTTTGATTCTCTTCTCTACCGCATCAAGACAGATCATGGGGCGAAACTGACATCTTGTCTCATGGGTACTGGGCCTCCTCCGACAGTACAGTGATCAGAGGGGGTGAAGCTGACCGCTTACTTCAACTTAATGCTGTAGTTAAGAATGTGTGAAGTAATGTCTTAACTCCCACACACAACTTCATGGTGTGCTGATTCATTAAGCACAATGACAACATTACCTTTATCTTATAACCACACCTCATCTTCTGTTCAAGTTTCAAATTATCATAGCAGTACCAAGGGAAACTGGTAATACAAAAGTGGTGCTGTAAGTTAGCCAAACATGGAATTGTGTCCAATCTGTACTGAAAGCGTATTATTGCTCATTTCCTTACTAATTCAAAATAATGACAATAAATATCCAGATACTTTAGGTACATGCAAGCATATCTCAAGAAAGAATTCCATAACCTTGTAATACATGGACGACGAAATTCAATTTACCAAATTCCTTGCAGCTACTTGAAGCGAATGAGTACTCAGGTATTGACGTAATGCTGTATCTGTTGTTTCACATTGCACCTTAAACCTGTAGGAAGTGTTCACAAGGCGAACACATGGTTCACAAATCTGAGCTGGCAACCCATCACCAACAAAAAGCTGGAAATAAATCACAAACTGAAATGAAGAATTACAAACTTCCCATTTCTGTAGAACGTTCGTTGTATTCACATGACCAAATATGATATGTGCGATGAATATTCTGTAATATACCTTTATTACAGGCACAAAATTCATTATTTTATCCGGCAGTGACAGAGTTTGACCCCGGTTGTCATTACCGAAGAGTGGGGTTAATACATCTTTTCGTGACATACAAAGACGACATATATTACTCATATACAAAGCCATTTCCAAATAATTTATCGCCAGGCATAAATACTCGGCTTTAACCAAAATACGAAGTTAATGGCAGAGAAAACTCGAAAAAAGCGCATCACCCCACAGCAACGCCATTTCTAGGAAACACATACCGCACAAGCAACCATACCCTCATATCATGGATCACTGCATGTTTTAACACATGTAGCACGGATCTTTACGAATACTTATGGGAATGTTGCCAGATTAGCCGTACCATCATATCTACAATCCGTGGTAGTTGAGCTGGTGACCACGGATCAGAACTGCAGATTTGGATCTGTTGGTAGGAAACATGGAAATATGTGCCATAACGATGATGAATTTCTCTGGGATATTATGACGTGCATTTGTTATGTGGGCGTCAGTGATTCGGAGGAAACTGCTGCCTTCATTTTCAGGGTACAGAACTAAGCCCAGTCGGGAATGGGTCAGTGATATTGAAAGGGTAGAGGAGTGTCGAGCTAAGAATGAACAAATAGTACTGTGAGGGAAGGGGCAGCATGTTCCTTTGAAACGCAGGTACCTATCCAGCAAACTACATGACTCCACGGGTCAATAATCTTCACATCACATCGGACATTCCTGCCATTTATGAACGCAACCTCAATTGAACGATGCCCCGTTAGAGCAAGAAAGAAATCTGTAGTTGATTCGGTTAGAAAGGTAAATCTAGCCTTGTAGCAGACCGTGGAAGCCCATAGTGTTGTAAGACGTCGAGACTCCAAAATTTTCAAGACAATCGGCTGACAGATGGCAGTGGGGTTGTCAGCCTTAGCCCCGGTCGCCCTTTACTCCTGATTCCTAGTACTCATTTCTGTAAGAGGCTGAGCCAACCCCAGGGCCATAGTGCTGTCAAATCACACCGCCAAGTTCATCCATTTTTTGAAGGAGAATTGGAAAGGTGGGAAAATTTGGAGTCATTACTTTTCGTACTTTACATTACCCTCGTGTCTTCGTTTAGCATAACAGGTTCCAAAATTAAAAGCTTAGGTGATTGATGGCATGTACCACTTCTGCCATTATTGATGAAATTATGGAATTTATATATAAATCCTGGGCACCCTCTTGCAATTATATCACCAAAGCCTAGCACTGATAGAAGAACCCTCTCTTATCATGAAATATGAGTGGTCTTAATTGCACTCATTATATTAATAATAAACCACAATGCAACATTTATGCCCTTTTGTCACCGATGTCTGCAATGTAACAATTTCTCAGCATGCAGACAGGCATCCCAATGAAGAACTTTGATATTATTCAGCATAACAATTGGCATATCTTATAATCTCTAGGAAAGGTTTCACAAAAATTAGTAAGAAAACAGTCACCCAATTCCTTATGCTTTTTCCAGAGTTCTGAAATCCATTAACTCTAAAATTTTCTCTCATCACATCCCTCCAAATGGCACGGTAGCATAGTTGGTTGAGGCATTATGCTACAAGCTGGAAGGTCGCAGGTTCAAGTCCCGATGACATCATTGGATTTTTTCAATTGACACAATCCTTCTGGCCGCACTATGGCCCTGGGGTCGACTCAGACTCTTAACAGAAATGTGTACCAGGAATGAATTAAATAATTTTCCTGCGGAGTAAAGCACGGCCGGCGCATAAGGCTGACAACTTTACCGCCATCTTTGATCCAACTGTCTAGATAATGTGGGACCCTCAACGTCTCACAAACGGCCTGTTACAGGGACAATTTTTTTTTTTTTCTTTTTTTACTTACATCCCTCCAGATCAAAGTCTGGAATAGGATCTTCCTGTTCCTACTGTCATAAATTAATGCATCAGTTATATAACCGGAGTTAAAGTTTTGCCACAGGACAAACAGCACACATCACCAGTTAGTGACTTGAAATCATTTAAGAGTTGGTAGATTTTGTTTTCAACATACTTCCAGAACTCATATGCTAGTGGGAAATTCAGACATATTGGGTTATTCTTTTCTCAGTAGATGACAATGGGTATGTGGGGCCAATGTAAATGCATTATGCAACAGTGTTATGAAATTATTTTAACATACTGCATTACTTGGATTGGGAATAATCTTGTTATTCTGCTTGGAGATAATATTTATCTAATATCAAACTTTAATTCTGCAGTTCTGATATTGTTTGGTAAACATCTGCCAGCCTATAAATCTTTTTACAGAGAATTTGAACACATGTGCTACATTTTTTGTAAACAACTCCAGATGACATTATGTTCTCTTGGGAAATCCATTATTAGTACCATCTGTTCACCATTGCTAAAGTTCTTTTAATTGCTCTGATCTACATACAATAAGCTCATTTGTTCTACTGCTGAGTCATTACTGTGTAATGAAAATACTAGCAACCACTTACATCAAATCTCACACCCCAACCATCTCTTTCCTCATCACAGAACATGTGTCATTTCTGTTTACAATGCTAACATTATTCCAGTATGAAGAGTTCCCATAAAAGACTGTGTTCATAAACCATCAATATTCTTCTCTGGTGCATGGTACAGATGAATGGCCTTCACAAACATGAACAATATCTTTAGTTATTCTGTAAGATTTGAGGTTTTCACAGCAGTCACTATGAAGAATGCTGTCTTCTGGAATGTAGCGCCGTGTAGGTCTTGTGTGAACCAACGTTTCAGAGGAACATATCACCTCCATCTTCAGGGTAGAAAAAATCCGCGAGTGAGAAACCAGCATGAGCAGGTGGCTGCATTATCTAGCAATGGCCCACTTGTTTACTGTGACATTGTCTAGCAATGGATAATGTACCTGTCGCCAGGAACTTCCCGTCTGTTATCTAGCAACAGCCTATTCTCCTGGCTCCGTTATTCTGGCTTCTAGCCATTGTGTTACAATATGTTTAGGGTTGGTTAACCTTAATTTCTGCGAAAACATTAAATTTGGTGCACTTCAGACATGTACTTGCATGTAGAGAAAGTAACTGTAGATTCACTAATTTTCAGCAATGCACATACATTGCCATATTGCTGTGTGTAGCAAAATCTGCCGATTATTTTTAGACTTCAAACTCTTTTCTTAGAAGACTGAATAAGCATCTCAGATCTAAATATTAAACTCAGAATTTCTTGCAGAATCTCTCTTAGACACTACCAGCTGGTTTCTCAGCCAGTCTCCACACATCACAAAGTAATGCAAATCTAATTGAGCAGCTATACATGCGGTATGTTTTTTAAAAATTTTCTCAATTCTGGAGCTCTACTATGTATAGTACAGGACAAATATTAAAACTGCATGCTTAACACTAGCAATACATTAAAATACCCCTTAAGATATCATGGCATATAGACCTGCTGCTAGGACTTACCTATCGATTTTGGGATAAACACTATTTTTCACCTTCAGAAACCAATGGGAGGGGGAAAGTATCAGATCTGTGGTTTCTACCCTTTCTTTTTACCTACATGGGGAATATAATGATGTAGGCTGAACGCCGTATCTAGTTTCCAGAATTTTCCAGGAGTTTTCAAACTTTGCTCTGTGCCCAAAATTTACCATTTTTAACATCTCATATCTCCAGTGGAGAAGCTCTGACAAATTTGAAATTCCTAGCAAATAATGCTCTATTCTAGAGTAACTTGGAGTCAAAATTACAATTTTGATATTCAACAAATAGTGAAGTTGTGGGCACTTTGAATTTGACAGATTTCGCAGAAAATTGTTCCTCATTCAAGACGAGATTCAAAGTTTCCACTGGGTAAATCAATGCTCAGGCTCTATACTCATGTTCCTTTGGTGAAGTATAATCTACAGCATGAGTTGTCAACTTCCATGCGTTTAATTATTAGCAAGTATCCAAGCTGCTGAATTATACTGTAAAATGCATCAACATAAAATATGCTTTGATTAGTTAACAGTTTTCAGCAGAGGACATGAAATAACACCGACAACTCATGATGACCTCAGTCTGTAAGCTGCTTAGACAAATATAACGTTAAGTTCTACCATCCTGTTATATTTTACACATTTGTACACTGATATTTTCACTGATCACACAGTTTCTGAAGTAGAGTTTTCTATAACATATATATTATTGCTGACACAACATATGTAAATCAACAGAATTAAAAAGGTACTTTTCTTACATAAAATACATGATATTGTGTTGATTATAATAATGTAATAAAATGTTTATTTACAGTCAATAACTTAACAAGATTTGGTCTCTACATACATCATGCCACACATGATAGTAAAATGAAACCTAAATTCATTACATCTGAAATGTCTGCGTATTTAGACAATTCACAATCAGTCCCTTCCCTGCACTTCAGTTACCTTGTTTCCTGTTTGGGACTAGACATCACTGCCTTCTCTATTGCCATTACTGATGTTTAAGTTCAAGTATGGTATCTACTAAAAGGGACTGCAGGATTTAAGACTCCTAGGTTACAGTTACACTGTTAAGTAGTATATTATACAATATGCTACCTGATATTTGTAACAAATACAATCTTGTCATTATATGTATACATTTTGCTATGCTGCAGTTTGGCTTCCTAAGTCTTGCCATTCTTTAAAAATAATATTCATTATTTTCAAGCTTAACAAATTAACCACAGATTAAAATGATTATCCACATTACAGGCATAAACATACACAATTTAAATTTTTCAATCAACAGGAAAAAATTAAAATAATACACCATGAAAAATTCTATATTGATCACCGGACTTCAATTCCAAATCCAATCTTGTATTCTAATCTGAAGCATAGTTCCTATCAGCAGTGAAAAGAAAAGCCTTGTCTTAACCTGCATAAGCAGTTATACAATAACCAGAAGCACCAATTCATACTGTGGCCTCTGTGTAATATGACATTATGAACCTTCACAGATGGTTACCAACATTCTAAAGGGTAGAACCCTGATGATGGAGGCACTACATTCCTCCAGAAAGTTGGCAACCACCTACCAGACTAAGAGTGCCATAATTCAGAAAATGACAATATGAATCTTCACTGTGAAAATCTCGACTCTAAACACAATCAATGTTTTGGTTAAGTAAAAAAGCCAATTAGTATGCTAATAAACTAAAGTGGACAAGAACTGAAGTCAAAATTCACAGCAACAAGGGTAACTTAATACTGGACCTTTCAGAATACTTAGCTCTAGGATTAACATATTTATCATCATTCTATCAGCACTGGTGGGTACAGATCAGACGTAGGATATATGCGTATAATGGGGGCAATCTACACAACAATATTCATGAAAAATAAAATACACACTATTGTATCAACATTTGTTTTATTTTGCTGTTGACACTACATGTTTCAGCCCTTATATTGAGCAATCATCAGGAGTACACTGATGCTAGTCCTAGTTCTGGAATTGCGTCTAATTTCAGTATGGATCCATATTGCGCTCTTCTGAGTTTTAAATGCATAAATTGAATTTTCAGTTAAAACATAAATACTTAGGCAGTATAATTTAAAATTAAAAATTAAGACTTAAAAATTAACATTAGAGTTGTAGAGAAATGATACATTTTGTAATAAATATGCTTATCTGGTGTAACAGATGCTGATACAATAGTGTCTATTTTATTTTTCACGAATAGTTGTGCAGACTGCCCCCATTATACACACATATACTACATATAACACACAACAGGATGCATACTTTTAAGATTACAGATCAGAGCTTGCAATGAGCTTCAAAAGGATATGGGAATGGATACAAACACAATCTCCAATTACTGAATATATATATACTACACACAGTTAAAAAGAATGAACAGCTCTTCAGATTTGACTTAACAGTTTATTCAGTTGAGCTGATCCAATATGCAGAAAAATATTTTCCATTTTAACGCTTTGCAGACCGGTGGCATATTTTTATGGCCAGCGCTTTTAAATGTGGCGGACCAGTGGCATATTATTATGGCTTTAGGACACGTTATGTTGAAACACTATACCTTGTAATGGCGCCAGGCAGACGCATGACTGGTGCGTGACAGACCTCTTGAATGTTTGCTTCGTAGTCAGTAACATGACCCCGCTGTTTACGAGCCAACTGTTTTCCTTTCTCACTCCAAAAGAAAATGCCTTTGTTCATCTTCCAGCTGCATGCACCAGGCAGGAGGTTACTAGTGCAAAATGGATCAAGGTCGGAAGAAGTTGAGGTTGAAGCGTTTTCGCGGAGAACAAGAAATATCTGACTTGTTCTCCGATGAGCTATCTGACGTACCTTGTGAGTCTGCTAGTGATAGCGACTCACAATCTGATAGTGAGTGTGGCAGGGGCGAACAAAAAATTGTGGCCAGACAGTGAAAGTGAAAGTGACGGTAGCTCCAAGGAAAGTGTGGGTAGCAACACTGCGGGGAGAGCCACATGGGGAAAAGTAGACAAAACGCCTGCTTTGGGACAGTTTACTGGAAATCCAGGGGTAAGCAAAGGATACATTTGTTACCAGTGTAAGCAGGAATGGCATAAAAACAGTGCGTCTGTGTCGTGTGTATAAAAGTTTCACATTAAAGCAGTGAGTACTTTGTTGGGAGACCTAAGAAATAGATTATAGTCAGTAAAGTTTGTGGCCACCAAAACCCACGTGATCTTTATGAAAACTTGACCCCATTGCTACACTTATACACTGTCCCAATTCCATAAAACCTGATCATGGGCAAAATCACGTTGCGACAAATTAACCTAGATAATCTTACATTGTGCCATTTTCAATTCATTTTTGGTTTTCAAAAATCTAAATCCTCATTCAAAATTGAAATGCAAGGCATTTCTGCTGAATGTGGCAAAAGCCTGGGCTACAGACCACACGGTGGCGGCAGACACACTCTTAGTACGACCGGGGCCATCTACTCCCACCCCACGCAGGCCTCATTTTGACCCCCCTGGGCGACTCTCGGGTGATATGCGGAAACATGCCCTCGTGAAAATTGTGAAGAGTGAACATGCCAAGGGGAAGCAGNTGTCAAATTAGGCATTTTTACATTCATATCACCTGGTCTAACACTAGAAAGAAACTGATCAAATTACATTAAGGCCTCCAAATTCTCCAGGTTTAAATGTTAGGTTGCCATATTTGGAGCAAACTTAAACAGTTTGTTTACAAAAACTATAAAGAACTGCTTCAGTCCTTTAAAGTTACTGCAACAAAGAACTGAAAATATGCCCCACCCCCCTCATATTAAAAGCCAATATCTGATCAGATTGGTTAGAGCCACAACCCAAGAAAATGGTAAATCTCGCATTCAACATTAATTCCAGTATAAATTGTGACTTACTTATAAACATCCCACCAACGGTGTCTCCACCTTATCGTGGTGGTGGGATTTAAGTGCTCCTGAGACCCTGAGAACTATGCTGGCAGTAGCACAGCTACTGGTAGGGGCACCCATGCCAGACAGGTCAAAGGGTAGGAGCCAGACAAAGAGGGATACCCCGGTCCTCCAGGTTGGGGGTTGGGCGTGAGGCTAACAACCTCCAACCGTAAAAATTATATTGTTTAGAAACCAGATATCAGCATTGGATGGATGGAGGAAAATCAGCGAGCAGAAATAAGTGGGCCACAACCTCTTCCATCCACACTTTTCATACTTCTTCACTCTTAACATTTGATGTTTCATTGTCTGAAGGGGTGAAGAACAGCATGAAATGGAGGCTGACTGTTCAGGAGGTCAAAGCTCACCCTGAGCTCTAGCGCCGAGGGGAAGGAAGGAATTATAAACAAAATTCCTACTTTTAACATTCAAAATAATTTTATGTATAACAAATCAATTGAACAGACTAATCCTTTTGGTCATATATTTCAGTATGTTCTACAAAGCTTATATGAGTTTCACTCAAATCTGAAAAGCCATCCAATTTTAGATTTTGTTTTAAAAAGTAATGGTTTCCCGCACCATACAACTGTGATCTCTGATAATCTTGATACATATTATTTTCACTCTATATGTGGGCATATAAATTAATTTATGTAACTGTATGTATGGATTACTTAACCTGATGAACAAAAGATGGAAACAGTGTTGGGATAATCAAATGTTGAAAGCTGTTCCATTATCTAACGTTATAAATATAACAATTATTACTGCAAGACTTAAATATTTGTTTAAATTACATGAATCTAATACAGTGAACAAATTTTATATATGTACAAAACAATGTGATAAAAATATTACACAAAAATAATACCAATGATCAGAAAAATGGTACTATTTGACATATAATTATACCTGCTGCAGAATAATACTCACAATAATTAATAAAATAAAACCTTGGGGTGGAAGATGTATCTTTGTCACCAACAATAACCAAGTTTATTAACAATTATTACTGCAAGACTTAAATATTTGTTTAAATTACATGAATCTAATGCAGAGAACAAATTTTATATATGTACAAAACAATGTGAGAAAAAGATTACACGGAAATAATACCAATGATCAGAAAAATGGTACTATTTGACAGAATAATACTCACAATAATTAATAAAATAAAACCTTGGGGTGGGAGATGTAACTTTGTCACCAACAATATCTAAGTTTCAAAACATGTACACTTGCTAGAAATATAAGAGTTTTGTAGTTAAGTAGTTCATTATGGCTTGAAATAAAGGTTAACTGTGGCATTAATACTGTAAATGTGCAGTTGTTAAAACAACAATACTGTAATTGGCCACAATATTGCTTTCAGTTATCCCAACACCGGCTGGGGAGAAAGAAATAAATCATCCACAGCTTATCTTTGGTTTATCACACAGAACTTCAAATGCAGAAACTATTAAGTAATTGGGTGAATTACTTGTATCCTGGAATTTCTTCCCATTCTCAACAAATACTACGCTTCCAGTCTTGTAACTGATAGATGTCACAAATCCAAAGAAACAAGTATCATCAAGAAATTCTTCAGAATCCATGTGGATTAATATCATCATTACTTTTATTATTATCATTCTTAATATACCTGTAATACACCAACTTCCTCATGTATGTTGGCGCTATCACAGTACTGCCAGCATCATGCTATTGGTCAGTTTATGGTCAGGACACCTTCATACTGGCTGAACAAGAGCCCACCGTTGTCTGTATTAATCAGACATGTATGGGTACTTCCATTCTTTAAGTGGCACAAATGTTTCCTTGATGGCCTGTGGCGAAGCCCAACGAAGCACATAGTGTGGGCCACCAGCTTTGTCATTTGTTCCTGTTTAAAAGACAAATAACAGAAACCAAACTTTCAGAATTGGAATGATACTGGTCAGGACTCCAAAATTAAGCTATTTATACAAAAAACTGAACTTTTACACACACACACACACACACACACACACACACACATACGAGTATGGTGATGGTTGTTTTATAAAGAATTAATTTACTTTCTTCAAGGAGTGCATACTGTTGTGTTATCACTCACTCACTCTCTCTCTCTCTCTCTCTATATATATATATATAGGTTGCGCCATAGTGCAAGCGGTTAGTCACTGGCTTCCCATCACGGTGGCCCGGGTTTGATCTTGGGTCTGGTCAAGTGGGATTTCTGGTGGACAAAGTGGCGCTGGGGCAGGTTTTCTCCAAGTACTTCAGTTTCCCCTGCCAATCTTCATTACACCAATTGCTCTACAATCACCCTCACCTATCATCTGGGGCTGGTACAATAGGCCAGAAGTGGCCACAGTACAGGGGACTTAGTCCCACCCCGCTAGCAATAAATATATATATATATTTATTTTTACCATTGACACAACAAATCTACAAGTCACTCACAATCCCCATGTCAGCTTTCATTGTCTAACGACAGAAATAGGGATCTATGACAATAATCAGTCAACATACAAATACAGAGAATAAGGAAAAACTAAGCATAATATAATAAATAATACAAGGAACATCAATTCAACAGATCCGCAGATGAGAATAAACACAGTCAGCGCCCATTATACACATAAACAGGATAAAGTACCATGGTAGCAACAGGAAGACATAACAAACTAGGACTAATCATTCTAATGATGCCACACACAACAAACAATGCAATGCTATGAACAACATAATGCATTCAAGTAGAAAATTTGCATAACACAATGATGTATAGAAACATTTACATTAATTTATAGTCACATTACATTTTAATTAGTTTATTTTTAACTAATCTTAGTTACTATTAAGATATTTTATTTAATCGATACAGCCCTACACAGCAAAATAATGTGATGTGCTGCGCTATGGAGGACACCCCCACCCGTGAGTGGTGACATGCCGAGCGGAGCTGAAGTGAGCCGAGTCCAAGCACGCTGGTCGCTATGCAAAGTGAGTAAACAGTGGTACCCATTACATAACACGGAACGCCAGTGGTACCCATTACATAACACGGAACGCCGCAGTTGCTACGTAGCCGTAAACAACTCCCAACAGCGTTGCTAGGCTATCGGCAAACACGGCATCAGACAACAGTGGTGCCTATTACGTAACTGTTTTCTGTGTTGTCCATAACGGAGCTAAATAAGGAGCAGCAAAGACTATTCAGTTAGTTACGAGTTAAAAGGCAGTGAGTCAGTCACCCAGTCAGTTGTAGTCTAGCCTTCAGAGGCCAAGTAATTGAAATACTGTAGATAGCAGTAGTTGTGAGATTGTAAACTGTGTGACTGTATGAGCGAGTGTGGAATAAAATTCGCTATATCCAATAAGGCGTGAAATTATCTGTCGCGTTATACACCCAACACGTGAGAATAATAATGATACTGTTCATAAAAGCATTAGGAATTGATCATACTAATGGACACAATTATAATATATGGATCCATACACAAATTACAAATGCAATAATTTTAGTTTGCAGAATGTATCACCTGAAGATGGTTTCATGAAAAGCCAAAACAAATTGTATTTTAACCCAAATAAACGCACAATTAACATGATAAAAGTGAGAGCGAATTATTGGTATATTTGTGGTGTAGACAGTAAAAACCAATATATATACTGTCGCGTATTGGGTGTATACACGACAAATAACTTCACGCCGTATTTGATATAGCGAATTTTATTTCACATTCGCTCTTACAATCACCCAAATTACAGATTCACAATTACTGCTATCTGCAGTATCACAAACACTACACTCCAAATGCCAGAATACAACTGACTGGTTGCTGGCTAACTCGGAACTAACTCGGAGGTAGCTCGAGGACTAACTGTGAATAGCCTTCGCTGCTCCTCATGTAGCCTCGATCGGACAATACAGAAAACGGCCACGTAATAAGCACCCTTGTTGCCTGGCGCTGTGTTGCTAGCAACGCTAGCAGTAGTAACCACTGTACCGCTGTTACTACCGTCGTCTCTCGCAATCGTGGTTACCCGCGCTGCCTAGCAACCCGCGGTACCCTTGGTGACGTCATCGCTGTTGACTCGCGTTGCATAGCGACCAGGATGCTAGGACTCGGCTATCTTCGGCTTCGCTTGGCGCATCACGGCTGGCGGGGGGGGGGCATCATCCATAGCTCAACATGTCACAATATGTATATACATACAATTTTTTACTTTTCCAGGCACTTTAACATCATACCTTATCCAATCTGTCACATGTTCATGCTCTATATTGGATTAACACACAGTGCTTAGTGTGTGTGTGTGTGTGTGTGTGNGAGAGAGAGAGACTTGTCCCCCCCCCCACCTACAATTTGAGTGCAACCAATGCAGACATAAATGTTAACAACAAAGTGTATGATTTATGTCCCTGATTTGTAAACATGAGTGGAAAATTGTTCTTCAATTTGGATTTTAAATATTTTCTTTGTAAATTTGCATACCTCAATGGTAATGACTTTCATCTTTTGCAGATAAAAGTCTGCTGTTGCAAAGCCTATATTACAGATGTAACATGCTGGCCAGAAATTGTTTCCCTTTAAATTATGTGAAACATTTACCATACTGAAAAGTATTTCAAATAAAAGTTCTACATATTAATAAGATTCATATCTTACATAATGTATAAATGTTTTGTTCAGTAACAAAAGTTTGATCTGAGCGCCATGCAAATTATGTATACGAGTAAATACAATTTAACTAATATTTTGGCTTTAGAAATCTTATTCGGTACTGGGCAGATGATCACTAACTTTGGCTGGTAACTCTGATGCTTGTAACATAATTTCTCTTTTTTAGATTATCCATTTATAACAGCATTTTATATACCAACTCTTTTGCTCTGGAATCTTCAACTCAAAGCTAATTTTTGTTGTTGTCCAATTTAGTGGAATGTTTGTTCTCTGATAACATGGCATGTGCCTACATACAGAGAGATAGATGATGTGTAACAGATTAAATGATATAAACTCCGTCTCAAGTGCAAACAGTATATTTTGTTTGCACTTGAGACGGAGTTTATATCATTTATCGTATGGAGTGCAACAGGATGCTTAAATATAATAGTGTAACAGATTTTTAAGAATCTTTCTGAACATGCTCAAAGTCTGTGTTTGTATCTGTCTTCTTGCTCAATCTCTTGGATAACCATCAGTACACACATAAATGGAGTAAAGTTGGTTAAAATATGCTCTGCCAAACTCACCTGACATACGACTTCCACCAAATGGCTGCTGCCCGACCACTGAACCTGTGGATTTGTCATTGATGTAAAAGTTACCAGCTGTTTGCTTCAGTTCTTCCAGTGCATACTGCAGGAAGTGTCTGAAATACATAACAAATTGCAACAGATTATTGACTGACTACTTCAAGCACAGTAAAACTCACATAAGACTTACCCATGTATGAAGTTTTCCAACGTAAAAAGTTAAAATGTTGCCATCACCTCAAACCTCCTTTAACACGTTCATATCTGTTTACTCTATAAGTGGATCCCATATAAAACGTTATTTTACAATTTCTTTTAGGGGCTATGCATGCATGCATGCACACAAAACATATAGTGCTGAAATGCAAACAAGCATTTAGGATTCATCAGCATGGGAACCTACCGATGTCCTTCCACAGGTACCCAAGCATTGGCAGTTAGTAAAGACAAGAAAGAGGGACAGGCCACAAGGCAAACACTCTGGAAGAAATCACAATCCATGGCATTCATACATCTTCTGCTGCTGCTGTTGTTATTGTGTGCACTGCAGATGATGTCAGTACTAAGGACTGCCAAATTAAGGTCAAAATAAACACTAGGCTCTCCCTTGAGAATGGGAACACAGATTTAAAATATTTAGGTTTTGTCTGATTTTTATATAAGCATGAAACTGCTTTGAGCCCATGAGATTTTTACACAAACCTATAAACCTTCAATAAAGATAAAGCTGTTGCTATGCACTGGCCATCCTTCTGCATTCACTCTCTATTAATATCGCTACCTTTGTTGATCGTACTTAAAGACAGGCCAAGATTAGGGAACAGACTGAGTGACTAGCAACCAGTCAAGTATGCCTGTGGGATGAAGACCATTGACTGTAAATTGTTACTGTGGTATATTCTTCACCTTGACTATACTGGAACTCCACCATAGTTTAGCAGTGCAAAAAAAGGCTGTAACCTCATCAACAAATGTTTCATCAATTGTATGAGTAAATGGACTGTGCCCAAAAATGAAAGTGCACTGATGATGCAAGATATCACAGGTCAATTTACACATGAATCCTATCCCCATTTCTGACCAGGAGTGGTTGTCAGTTTCAGCATGCTTTTATCTTTAATTATATTACTCTTCAGTCTCATTGAGACTGATCCCAGTTGCTGAACACAGGTGGCACTTCCAGGAAGCTGAAGACAGATTTAGGAGTGTAAGCTGTCATAAAACTGTTTTGTTATTGTTAGTGCCCCCCCAAATCAAACATCTTACATACTGGATTGCCCTGCTGTATTTGTATATTCATGAAGATTCTACTGTCTTATGTTAAATTAGCAATAATGATCACCACAGACACATAAGTAAATGTTTCAAACATACAGAAATATGTTAAAAAATATGTCTACATGTAGTAGGATAGCATTTTCAATACCTCTTGTAATCTATGAATTGTAACTACTTCATACTGAACGTTATCAGACAACAGACATGTTTATTCATCTGCAAAATTAGTATGCGCTCACAGCCAGCAGTGCACTGGTCACCATGAAGTGCATAACCATGAACTGACCAACAAAGGTAATAATCTCCCTGAATGAAGGGTATGCAATTACAGTATTTCACGGTGAGTGAAAAATTAAAGATAAAAGATAAAGGATGTGTGGGAACATATTTGAGTGACTAGGGTGGTAAAGAAGAATTTAAAAAAGTGCAGCATCTCAAACATGACAATTTCATTTGGTACAGTGACGACGACCTCGTGAGCTTTGCTGCTGCTGCTGCTGCTGCTGATGATGATGACAAAATGACTGGAGAATAAAGTGCTGTAGGTATATAATCACTGTTTCTGATTAGCAAGTTATATGTGACAAAGCTGCAACAGAATGAAGTAGAAGTACCACAACAAACGCTAATACTGCGTCATTTTCATGTTGCAGAACATTAGGTCTTGGGAACTGTGAATGCAGCAGCACTGGAAATAACACAGAAGTGTTCTTTTATATGTACAGAATATGACCACTTGCTAGGCAACGGTTAGGTAAACACTACCTAAAAGCAGAAATAATAACAGAAGCGGAAGTCATTCTCATGACAACACAAAAAGAACAGATGAACTGTTTGACATGGTGACTTCTATCCCGGCCACATGACAGTTATAAAAGGCAGTGCATTCGTGAATTCAGGAGTAGTAGAGATCAGTCCAAAATCAGTGAGATTCTTCATATGGCATTCAGAAGGAGTTCAATATGTGAGCTGTTACAATAAATAAGTACCAATAAATCCAGTCATCAAATCCAGAACCTATTATTATCAGTCATGCTAATACATGAAAACTGGTTAGTGACTAATAATAATGGGTTCTGGATTTGATGATTGAGTTTACTGGCACTTCTTTATAATTACAGTTGAGTAATACAGTAAATGAATAATCACTGTGAATGTATGATAACCATATTTATAATTGAATTTTTTTATATGCTGGATTTGTTGTATATGTTAAAGCTATATGACAAAAATATTCTGTTACTTTTGACGGAAACTTTTATCTTAAAATTTTACTTTAAATGATAATTTTGAGTGTATTGTGCTAGAGAGTAATTGTATTATGATGTAAACAAACACTGTTATATATAATTAGTCTTTTTGACTATTGCTTGATAGTATTAGCAAGATAAATTGACACAATTCTGTATCTAAGGCTTTAGCCTACTATAGATGTAATGGAATAAGGAAATAATAATAATAATAATAATAATAATAATAATAATACAGTCAATTATAACAATTATAACTCCTTAGGCATTCTCTTACAAATGAATTACAACTCCTGTATGATGAATGCTCTATGAAGAATGTCTCTGAAGAATCTCTCATTAATCTCAGACTGATCTCTACTACTCTCAGATTCATGACAGCTGTTGTCTAGTAAATGGTCATCATCATCATCATCAGCAGCAGCAGCAGCAGCAGCAGCAGTAATCTATCAGACGACAGGTCCACAGTCTCTTCCAAAACAATTCCTCCACTTAATGCGATCTAGAGCTTTCTCCTTCAAATGACAGTATCCTCTTCTGTCCCCAAGGTCATCCAGCATCTTCTTACGTCTTCTTCTTCGTCTTCTTGTCACTTCTATCCGCAACTCTATCTTTCCTTCAATAACTTCTTTTAGAAGGCAGTTTCTGCGTAAAACATGACCAATCCAATTAGCCTTCCGTTTTCTTATTTCGTGTAGGATATTCCTCTGCTCACTGACTCTAATTAACACTTCTTCATTTCTCACATAATCGGTCCAACTGATCTTCTCCATCCTTCTAACACCACATTTCGAAACTTTCCAGATGTTTCTGATCTACTGCCCTAAGTGTCCATGTTTCAGCCCCATACAGAGCTATGCTCCAAATGTAGCATTTCACTAGTTTCTTCCTCAAAGTTAAGTCCAATTTGCTGGTAAAAAGATTCTTCTTCTTGCTAAATGCAGCTTTTGCCATGGCAATCCTGGATTTAATTTCATATTCTGTCACAATATGGTATGTTTATTACTGATATTTTTATTAATATTTTATGTTTAGTTTGTTTTAAAACTTGAACTTCTTTTAAAAATAGTTCTTTATATTTTTTCATTTTAAAAACTGGGGTGCACAGCTTATTCGAGAACATGGGGTATTCAAGAAAATACAGTATAACTCATATTTGAAAGAATCAATTTTGTGCCTTCCATCTCACACAATTTATGTTTTCTTCAATAGCATGCAGCTGTAATTTTTCTAACCTAAAATCTAACACAGAGAATCAAATTTTGAAGAGACTACCAGCCTCTGCAAACTCCTGCCACAGTTGCATTTCCAAAATCTGTTACTCCTTTGATTTCACAGCCTCAAACTTTCACTGATAATATGTTAAAAAAAATATATATCATGGCATTCATTTTAGCCGTTTATATAGACTAATTCTTTTGTTTTAGACAAGCCCAAAATTATATTCCTCTGCCACAGATAATATCTAAAAATATATGACAAAAGACTACTTTAACATACATTTGGATGCATTCAGCTTGGCAATAATAATGTCTGATTTTCACATCACAGAAATACACATAGTGTCTTAAAAGCACAAAGTACTTATTCTAAAGTTGGACTTCTGAAGAAAATTTATAATTTTTGTTCTGTGCCCATCTACAGATGAACAATTTCATTGTGGATCTTTATTTTACAAATGAAAAGCAAGGTATACTTTATTAACACCAATCAACAAAGGAATTAAATTTAGGTACTTACTGGTCCGTACCAAATACAGCTCCTGTCAAGGCATAGGGTGTTGACTCACCCACTAATCTCAGGGTTGAGTCAAGATCCTTTTCCCGGTAAACATATACAGACAAGACAGGGCCAAATATCTCCTCCACCATGATTCGATCTTCAGGATCAACTGTTTCCACAATTGTGGGTTCAATGAAGTAACCCTTGCTGTAAAACAATAACTTCAGGTTATTAAAAAATGCAAAGTGTGCATATGGCAACAAATTAATGTTGATATTTTCCTAAAGATTATAAGACAATATTAACATAATAAAAATTTATATCACATTTATAACAAATAACTGGCCACTGCCTCTGAAATTGGTAGCTGTACTGAAGTGGAGCATACATCCAAACAAACATGAAGCTACCTACAAGTTCACTTCTGAAAAATCATCACAACATGCATGGAATCAAAATTCAAGGCAAGTCAAAATTTCATATATTTATGTTGACTTTCTTTTTGAGCAACTAATCACATATTCAAGTGTCTGGATTCAAGATAATGTGAAATACCCAATTAAAGAATCACTCAGAAAACAGATTTTTTACACTGTATCAAGGTTTTCACTAAATGGGGTTACGCAAAAATACGTCAAGAAACTCTTCATTTGCCCATAAGACTTACTGGTAGAATAACTTCTCTATGTAAGTTAGGTAGGTAATGTTGTCCCTGTGCTTAACTAATTAACCACTACGCCATGAAGACGCATGGGGGAGTTGATGTATTCTTGACCTCGGCCCTAGCTGGAGGTCAGTGGTCAGCTTCATGCCCCAACCACTTTACCCCGGGGAAACAGCCCCAAGTACCCATCGGATAGAAGGCTGAGGGGGCCCCAGAACCAGTCTGGACAACATGGAGAGGAGGAAACCTTGCCCCCATGGGGCCTGGAACTCTGACCCTTTGGCCATACAGCCCATAGCGAGTCACTATATCGACTGCAGTATCCCAGCTCCTTCTCTATATAAGTAGTTACAGAAATTGTTTCTATGCAAATAAATACAATTATTTGTATTTGTAGTTGTATTGAGAACAGAGTGCTAAGGGGAGTATCTGGACTCAGAAGGGATGAAATAACAGAACACTTCAGAAAACTGCATAATGACAAGCTTTATAACTTATACTTTTCACCAAACATAATCAGAATAAAGTCAAGGAGAATGAGATGGGAAGGGGATGTAGCACATATGGGAGAGACTAAGAAGAATGCAGACAGGGCTATCGCAGGAAGGCCTGAAGGAAAGAGACCATTAAGATGACCTAGATGTACACAAGATAATATTAAAATCTTTCTTAAAGAAATAGGTCGGCATGACATGAACTGGATTAATCTGGCTCAGGACAGGGACCAGTGGTGGGCTCTTGTGAGCACGGTAATGAAACTTCAAGTTCCATAAAATATTGGGAACTTCTTGAGTGGCCAAGATGCTGAAGATAAACTCAGCTCCATGGAGTTACTACAGTGGATGCCACTTACTGTGACAACTTCAGGAGACAGCTCAACCAATAACAATAAACAATGAAACAAGAATGCAGCTGTTCAGCATTGCTTACTGATGCAGAGTGGAAATAAAAAGGTGGAAAGAGATGGAAAGAAAATTTCAAGGTTCTTGAAATCCATACACACCATTAAAAACAAATAAAGAAAACGTTAAAATCAAGAAATAAAACAATTCTTTTATAGTAGCTTGTCTATTGTCTTCTGTGAGGTCATTAATGAAACATTCATACTCACATCAGGGCTCAAAACAAACCAGGATGTTATGTAATCACTTCCACTTCACATGCATCACAGCTGCATTAAGACAAAAAAGTGAAAACAAAAACCGAAGCACTGATTACAATAAACATCTTTTTTTCTGTGTATTAGTATATGTCTGATCATGACTTCATAAAAGTTATGACATTATATAAATGATAACATTATCCATGATTACAATAGGAGGTGCCCACTGCATTTCATTACAGGCACAGAATGAAAAGCAGGCTGAACTATTTCTTTCACTGAACTTCTCTTTCAATGCATTACTCCATTTTCTCAGTAACGTGACAGTGTGAATATATTATTATCATCATCTTCTATAACGACATTAAGTCCTTACTTTGGACTGTACTACTACCGTTACATATACCAAATGAGCTTTTCCTTAAAAATTTAATGTTTTGAATAAGCAACCCACCTGCTGTCATACTTGCCACCTCCAATCACTGTTAAATTTTTTGAGCTATTTGCATGTTCAATATACGATGTAATTCGTTGAAATGCCTTGCCATCAATGACAGCAGAGGTGAAGCTGTCAAATTCTGTTGGATCACCAACTTTTAGCTTAGACCGCTCCGATAGAAGACCTGCCTTGATCTGTAAAAAAATTACAAAATACCAGACAATCCCATTATTGGCTGCCTGATGTTCTTGACATCACTTCTGCACCACAACATTTCACCACTTAAAATCATCAAATAAACATTCTATCATAACAAAAATACCCACTACTACTAGTTTTGCACTTCACTAGATTTAAGCAGAAGAAAACATACTTTTGTTACAGAAAATTATGCATGAAACTTATGAATTTGAAATTTTAAAGCAAAGTTCTGATAAAATCCATGTTACGCTACTCTACATACAGGTGGCAATTTCTTTAAAACATTAAGATTATGAAGGAAACTATATTAGTAGTCCATTAAACCAGGTGACAAGAGTAGTGGTTATGCAAGCTTTTATCATACACCGTCATATACAGCCGTAGCATGCCATTATAAATATATCTTTCAATAACACATAATATATTTCTGCTGCCTATGTATATGCAATGTGCTTTAAACTGAGAAGGCATGGCCTATACACAGCAAAGTGACTGTAAGTTGGTAAATACTAATAGTGCATATCTGTGTGCAATTATTATACTTAAATGATTCCCATAGTCACCAAGTTGTATGCAACTACTGTGGGTACTGAGCAGCCCATCGCTATACTGACTGAGTTATTCCAGCTCCATAAATCATTTATGAACATTTATTCACAAAAAAAGTGACATGAACAACCATGTCATATTTCAATACTCACACATATAAAGAGAGAGAGAAAAAATTAAACTATTTTCAAAGAATATTTCTGATTCATCACCATCCTGTTTGGTTAAGTGACAGCAAAGACTATGGACATATTGATTCACAACTGATGAATGTCATGTCAAACATGAACATCAAAAGCAAAGGCAGGGCTAAAAAATATGTTCTGAACAGGACAAATTGCATGCAAATATAGCCGTACTGAAAATCTAACAATTACATTTACTAAAATATTTGTATACTTATACAATACTCTATGGATATGCAATTTTCAAGATACCATACAGTTACTGATATGCCTGTTCTCTCAGAAAATTATTTTATTTTGTATGCATTCTTTTTTATTCAAAAAGGCAAGACAAGTCACTCACTACCTGTGAACAATTATAAAAGTAAACACTTTGGTAAACACAATACTTAGTGAAATGAATCCAAAAATGCATTTTGTCCAAGAATAATATCAGTCTTAAAACAAATTAAAATGCTTGAAAACGCACATAGGGCAATAATCCTACAACATAATCAAAATAAAAATCTGTTACACGACTGGAAAGTTCACTTTAGCAAACATAACTTACACATCCCAATATTGCTGTATGCAGTTTATAAAAAAGTGAATGAAACACCAGGCAATTTTGTATCGATCTACACACTGAGTATCATAAAAATTATCAAATAGTTGGGGCCCCTTCCATCCATCCACATAAAGACAGATGTGTGTTCAAAAAGTTCCCAAAATTTGCCTGTAATAATATATTTCTCTACCTAGAGCTTATTGAATATTATCCCCTTCTGCAGCAATACACCTCTCCCACTTCTGAAGGCACTGTTCAAAGGATGACTGTAGTATCACCTTCAAGTCTTTCATCGCATTAGTGATTATGTCTTTCATTGTCTGAAATCTTCATCCTTTGATGGTAATTCTGAGTTTAGGAAGTAGAAAAAAGTAAGGATGGGAGAGGTCAGGTGAACAGGTGGGAAGTGTAGGAACTGAAGGTCTTCCCAAGAAATGTCTGACAATGTTGCGTGAACAGGCGCATTATTGTGATGGAGGAGCCAGCTTCCCACAGTCCAAATTCCAGGTCACTATCTTAATAGCACATCATGCAGATGTCTCAGAACTACCAGATAAAATTCCTGATTAACTGACCTTCAGGAATTCATAATGCACAATGCTTCGATGATCAAAAAAACAAGCAGCACTGCTTTTACTTGTGAAAGCACCTGTCATGCTTTCTTGGGGTGAGGCAAAGCAGTACTCTTCCAGTGTAAGGGTTGTTGTCTGGTTCAACATCATAACTGTAAACCCAAGTCTCATTACTGGCAATGACATTTTTCAAAAGATTTTTGTCATTTGGTCTTGGGGGGAGATTTTCACAGATGGAAAATTGTTGGAGTTTCTAATCTTCAGTCAAGAGTCTTGGCACATATGTTGCTGAGACTCTATGCATTCCTAAATCTTGTTAAAATTGTGTGGCACGAACAAGTGGATATTCCAATCTCTTCTGCAACTTCTTGGATAGTCAGGTGACAATTTCCATGGATATTTTTTTCACTTGGGCAATCAGATGTTTGGATCCTGAAGTCAAAGGTCTGCCAGACTTCTCATTATGTTGCAGTACTTCCATTTTTAAAACGCCTGAATCTTTCATATGTCATCGTTTGACTTGAGGCATCATCACCATCAGCTTCAGGCAACATGCTGTACGTTTCTGCAGTGGTTTTCCCTACTATGAATTAGAATTTAACATAAATTCCTTGCTCGTTTACTGACTCCACACTGAATGCAACAAGACAACAACACACTAGACCACCAAACTGGTTATAAAAACTAAACAGAATGTCTGATCTACTTAGAACAAAATGACTTGCAAAACTAGTGGTCAGGATGCAAGGTCACTCAAACAACACCTAACATGTCCAATGCACTACTGCTTCTGCACCATAATTTTGAGAATTTTTGAACACACCTCATATGGAGAAATGGCCCTTTTTTTAAAATTCACATAAAAAGATGATTATGTTACCACAACCTCCACATGGCTTCTTTCACAAACAATTACGAGATATGTTGTTGCTACTAATCTTAAGCAGACAACTGCATCTATAACAGGGAAGAATTAATGAACTGTAGGTATAGAAAATAAAACAGCAATTTAGATGTATTTCTACACTAATGTTTATATTTTATTGCAAAAGACATACTGCCTAATGAAAAATTATTTTGTTTCAGTTTGCTCAATATACAGAACTACCTACCTTCGGCCATAACGACTGTGGCACATACATTCGAGAGCAGGCTGAACATTTCTGACCACAGAATTCAAATGCTGATCTAATGGTACCCATAACAACACTGGTGACATCTGCTGATGGATGGACAAAATGGTAGTTCTTACCACCACATTCTCCAATAAGTCTTGGATAGCTACGGTAGGAGTTTATGTTTTGTCCAACTTGTTTCCAAAGCCGATTAAATGTTCTACAAACATAACCATGTTATTAACAAGCAGCTATGCATAGTCCTATAAATGTTGTGCTATTAATGCAATATTTGTGTACTGTGAATGGGTCAGCATGCTGGGTCCTGTGTGGATGGTCACAGAAGTGAATCTCACAAATAAAGATTATGTATGGCTCAAACCTGTAAATGTTACACATTGTTACTGTAAAGATAAAGGTAAAGTTATCTCTGTGCCTAATTAAGCACAATCATCAGATGTCTGAGCGGTAGCCTGCTGAACTATCCTGGCTCTTGTTATCATTACTGTTGCTATTATCATCATCTTATTGTTACTACTATTGCAGCTGCTACTACTGGTATTACTACTACTGCTAGTAGCAGTAGTGGTGGTGGTAGTAGCTGCAGCAGAAGTATAGTAGAAGTAACAGTAGTACACAAATGGCACAGGGATAAGAAGGAACAAGAGGCAGCAGAAGGAAGACTGGGAAAAGGAAGAGGGAAAAAGTTGCCGTATAAGAGCAGCAAGGAATACTCAGCAGGAGGTCAACCTCAAAAGTGCAGAAACTGTGTAAAGATAAGGGCAGTATGCCCATGCCAAATGGTCTGGTTCAGAACCCTTCACAAGAATGATATGAAGGGGGTTCCCTACAATTTTTGGAAGATCAGAGGTTTCCATGACTTGCTCAGACAGAAGCCAACCTTCCTATTCATGCTGCTGGGATGAACCTTAATCTCAACTGCCTCCCTGAAAACACAGTCCATGAATCTGGATTTGGTGGAGATAATCATGGTGTTTTGGAGCTGGATGCGGTGTCCCAATGTGATGCTGTGCCCTGCCATGACCAAACCATCTGAATGATCTAGATGGATATGCACATGATATTCCTTCACCCTTGTGTCAACTGAATGGCCAATGCAGACATGACCACACAAGGAACTGGAGTTCCTCAAAGTTACATTCAGGCAGAAAATCTACAGTGATTGGCAGATTTGTATGTCTCTCAATTCTCCTGTGATGGTCACCCTGACTAGCAATGATCCTAACTCGGGCACCTTTCTGGATTCAGTATGTCTTGCCCAAATGTTGGTGCTCACATACAAGACTACAACATGGTGTTAAACCCAGAAGACTTTAATATGGGCCTTCAAAGCTGTGAAAACCTTGAGACTTCCCCAGGCTTGTTATAACATACTGAGACAGGAGACAGTAAATCCACAAGCATGGGAATCTTAAGAGGTGCAGTATCAACAGCTGAGGTACTGTCCAGAATGGCACCACCTAGGCTGTCCGCTACGCAGCTACATAAAGAAGTATGCCAGATGAATCACCATTCAAGCCTGACTAAGATGCAATAATGAATTAAGAACAGGATGCTTGAAGCAGACTATAAGGATGACAAAATGCAAGTAAGAGGAGTGGAACAGCTGGATATAAACACCTGCAAATATTTGTAAACACTTAAAGATAAAGTAAGACAGTGCCAAATAAGTCTGTTTCCTAAAAGACTCCATGTCATAGTCATTTTCACATGACACTATGGATATGGATTTTAGAAATGACTACTTATATTTCAAAATTCAGCGTTCTTTTCCTTATATTTCCTGAAACATGTTACCAGAAAAGAGATAAACAATGCTGTGAGGAATATGATTTCAATATAGTAAAAGTGATAAAAAGGAACTTGGTCTACAAAATCTGGAAAGTCTGTAATCTGAAAGAATGTTAATTACCTTGCATGCCAATATTTATATTTATTTAACTAAGCTATGCCAGTTATTAAAATGCTATAATGATCATTATATGGATGATAGCAAGTGAATAAAGGTAGGATCAAATGAATGAAAATGGACAGAACTTCCTCAATGAAATGAATTTTCTTCAAGTATGATTAAGTGAAACTACCATGTGCTATTCAATAAAATCTGTAAGAACAAAAGACACGGCAAACTTACGCCACAGATCCTGTGAAATTAATTCCACCAAGATGCGGGGAAGAGGTAACAGAATCTCCAAAAATGGGGCCATCTGCAGGCACAAAGTTTACCACACCTGGTGGCAATCCTGCTTCACGAACAATCTTAAAGACAGTATAATTGGAAAGTAATGCTGAATCTGAGGGTTTCCATAATACGCCATTGCCCTATAACATGGAATGCATTTCATTATTAACTTCAATATTCACTTTTGAAAGGGTTAGTATCAAGTTTTCCAGCACATTAACTAAATTACATTCTACAGTTCACTGTTATTACACATAAAGGTAAAAGTGTTCCTGTACTTAATCTGCCTAAGACCACACCATGAAGAGATATGGCAGAGTGAAGGCAAAGCTCAGCATTCTTGATAATGGCATTAGATGGAGGTGAGTGGTCAGCTTCATGGCCTGGCTGCTTTACTCCTAAGGGAAACAGTCCCTTGTACCCATTGGGTAGGAGGCTGGGTGGACTCCAGGGCCAGTCTAGATGCAGTGGAGTAGAGAAAAATGTCTAGTCTCTGCTGGGAATTGAACACCAGATATCCAACCTGTAGCCTGTTGCTATACTGAATGAGCTAACCAAGCTCCACATTACTAAATATATTAAAAGAAAATTAAATATACATAAATTGTTTAATATATGTTTCAAATCATGCTTCAGTGGATCATCACATTAACAAATACAATAAATCTGAGTTCTATGGAAAAATAATTTCTATGAAACCTTCTTATATTTTTTCTCAATTGTGATTGTGTTCAGGAGGCCACTACTGATCACTGTACATGCAATTTAAAAAATGTACACATAGCAATCTAAAAAATCATAGGACTCTCAGAAAAGTATACTAGATATAAAATACGTGCTTCATTTTTTTTCCTACAACTTTTGCTTGAAACACTTTTTCTCCCTGATAAACAGTTAATGAGTTACACCTGAGATACCCACATAAATGTGGGATCTTCATGTACAATGGGCATAAAATTGTCAGATCTAAATGAAAACTGAAATGGCACAATTTTTTTTTGTGAAATTCTCCACTATGAAATTCCATGTAAATCCATTCAGAAGTTTTCAAGTTGTTTCATACTTGCTGGCACACAGACAGCCAGCTAGCCAAACAGAGGAAATTAATATGCACTATGCAAGGTTGCAAATGTGCCTAAAAATGCATAAAAATAAATCATTTTGGCTGAAAAAATTAGAAGTACTTAGGAATTTTGAAAAATTTTTGCACTATGGGAGGAGTTAAACCATTTCTAATTGCAATAAACATACCATAAGAGCTGGTGTGTAGGCTAAGTTGCCACCAATAGCTGTGAAATTAAATGGTGACACTGCAGCAATGAAACCACCAATCCCTCGGTATCTCATGGAGTTCAATGTTACTGACGGTTCCTCACTAATTGGTTGGTATTTAGTTATCTCCTTTGCAGAATATGCATTAAACCTGTAGCACAGATATCATCACTCATAAAGATCATTACTGTGATCATAATGTTGTAACTGTATTTGAACTTAAGATACTTATACACAGAAAACTGCATTAGAAAGCATATGGCCAACTTTCAACTTTAAATAATTTCTATTTTGTTATAGATCAAACTCACAAAAGGATAATAACAGCTAACCTCAGTTTCAATACAGCAAATTTTATGAACTACAATTATAGCAACTTACACAGGGGGGAAAAAAAGATGCTGACAAAATGATAGCTGCAAAACCTGAAGGGAAGGGGCCAGTTGAGAGAGATCTATGCAGAAAAAGTGCATAATACCATGACAGGTTCCCAGGATATTAACTGGATTCAGCTGGATCAATATAAGGTATATCACAGGCTTTTGTGAACATAATAAACAGGAGTTGAACAATTTTTCAAGAACCTACTTCCCAATACAAAGTTCAGTAATTCTTCTCATACAATCCAATTTCCTAAGTACTCGCAGTCAACTGCACACTATGGTTGAAATTGGTGGTGGATCACTTACTTTTATCACTAGTAGTCTGCTAAACTACCATTATGCAACAGCGACTGAAGCTTATTCGTTACATCTTATTAAATCATCTTTCACAAGATGCTGTAGAAGTTGCAAGGACAGCAATTACTGATACTATCTTGCTGTGGAATATGAATCCCTTTCCTTGAGACAAAACAGATATCAGTAAACCCTCAAGCTTTATTCTCTGGCACACTGCCTTGGCCTCATACTACCTCATGAGGATATCAGCCACAACCCCCTCAAGTGAAGATATGAAAGAAAGTGGTAAATGAAAGCCTTTATTTCCAAGCCAAAAACCATCTCATCTCATCACCAGTCAGCCATGATACAGTGTCAAATATAGAAGGTGCAACAGCTGCTCCACAGTTGGTGATACAAAAGGAGAAACCTTTCATTTCAAGACTTTTATTCTTGATTTAATGAACATCCTTCTACCCGTCTCAAATTTTGCTTTTGCCTCTGTTATTCCAGTCAGCTAAATGTCTTGAAGTTCTCCTAACACTGAAATACTCTAAAGAATGTTTTCCTCTAATGGTCCTACAGCATCTTCCAGCTTCTCTAAGGGATAATGGGTAATTTCAACAAAGAATGAAATTGTAGTTCTTTAGCCCCAAACATTGATTTCATTCAACTGAATTTCGTGAACTTGCATGAGATTTTTATTTAAAAACACGAGTTTCAGTCTGTGACAAATGCTGTAAGAGTCCCAACTTAACTAGTCATCCATTGAACATGATGAACATGATCTACTTTTACAATCTTGGCAGACACAATATATAAGTATTCCTTACTTCACCCAGTCATCTGTAAGAACTATAAAACTTGTAAACTGCAATCACAAAGTCATCCACTTGTGAAAGATAAGGAACATTTTGTACAGATCTCAATGCACAGTTGTAGCTTACGTGCAATACAGTGCACAGGAACTACATACTTTAAAACATTTCTCAAACCTGTTGGTAGTCCATTAATGCTTCGTCATACTGGGAGTTGCATCTGTGCCCAGTCCTACTAGACCTTACTTACCCATCCAAGAAAGTCCAATAAAAGGAGTTTATGGAGTTCTAAAGTATGGAAGACAAACTTCTTTGGACCTGGCTGAAATCCTACCATGTACAGGTAATAATTCTGTAGAAATTTATTATTTATTAAATGTTATTACATCTTTCTGACCGCCTCTGTGGTCTAGCGGTCAGAGTTCCTGGCTACAGATCCAGAGGTCTGGGTTCGATTCCCAGCGCTACCAGATTTTCTGAGAAGTGGGTCTGAAATGGGGTCCACTTAGCCTTGTGAGGATAATTGAGCAGCTACTTCAAGGAAATAGCAGCTCCAGTCTAGAAAACCGAAATTAACGGCCGTGGGGATTTGTTGCACTGACCACGCAACACCCTCTCTCTATCTGCTAAAGTTGGCGCTAACTTCGCCAACAAACGGCCGTCGCTTGGTCGGTATAGTTCACTTGCAGACTAAGACCACAGAGTTATTACATCTTTCTTTGCTTATCAACATACAGAGATGAGTTACCTGAAGAAATCTATTAGTTCAGCTGCTGAATCAATTTCTGCCTGAATTGCTGTCTTTGCTTGGCCCAGCATAGTTGTCGCATTCAGTTTCATTCGGTACTTGTTTGCCATCAGATCAGCAGCCCGATGCCAAATCTGCAGCCTTTGCTCCAGAGGAACCCGATCCCATGTTGCCTGGGCTGCAGTGGCCACTTCTATTGCTCTTTGCACAATATCCTACAGTAAACAAGCACACCAATAAAAAGCTATACAGTAACTAATGAGATTTTTTTTAAATACTGGAAAATTAACAATACAATTATACAATTATGTGCAACTGTAATTGTGAAAATATGAGGGTTCTGTTCAAGACTGCCCATGCACATGACATCATGCATTTCTGCAAACATGAGATTACTGTGACTTACATCCAAAATGTCCTCGAATTTCGAACACCCACTGCTCTGTAACCATTGAGAATCTGTCCTATGTTTATATAACAATTCTGACTGGGAACGACCTCAAGTACAAGCTCCCAAAGTCAACATATTGAGTCACAAATCATCTAGCATAATTCACTGTTAAATTTACTTGTCTTAAAGCAAAACAAACAAGTTATGGTCCATATGCAATAGAAATGGGAGTCGGTATCTCTCTACTGAAAACTCTAGTAATTTATATTAAAAATGTAACCCACCCAATTGTAGCCATTGTGGCTCCCTCAACATATTTGATTCAAAGTTCAAATATTAAATAAAATGTAACGCCACAACTACGTGACAGTATTTGTGCCTGAACAAAAGTAGCATACAGCATGGTATTACTGAAGATTTCACAATTCATTCACTTACATCATACTCTATTTACACAAAAAGATGAACAACAAAATCAAACAGTGTGTACAACTGCAAATAACAGATCATAATAATCATAATTAAAAAGAATGCAAATTATTATTTCATTTATAAAAATTCAATATATTTCTTCACTGGAGGACATCCTAAATCATTAAGTGGTTCACACATACTAATTTCACTCTCGATTAAATAAGGATTTACCATGAGTCATTCATTTACACGTATATCATCAAGAATGCAATCACTTGTAAAATGTGCATCCTCCTTCACTTTCACATGACAGGAAACTTTTCCCATGTCATCTGGGATATTTTATCCATCTGACTGTCTCTGTTACAAGACATACTGCCATCAAAATTGATGTTTGAGTTATGAAGTCCCAGAAGGCCATGGGTTCGATTCCTGATGAGGTCACTGGATTTTTCAATTGACCTAATCCTTCCAGCCGCATATGGCCCTGGGGTAAACTCAGTCTCTAATAGAAATGAGTACCAGGATTCTTCCAGAGGTAAAGGGCGGCTGGCGCATAGGGCTGACAACCTCACCACCACCTATGAGCTGACTGTCTAGAAAATATTGGAGCCTCAACATCTCGCAACGCTATGGGCCTTCACAGCCTGTTACAGGATAACTATATTTATTACTTATTTATTAGTGCAGTCCTTTATTTTTAACTGAGATCTGTATGGTAGAATCCTGTCTACTGGATAATGTTCATGCTGATCCTTGTATTGTTTAATAGTGTCACGGCTCCACTCTCAACATGTCATGTGGCCTTCATGGGTCTTATGGTCCTCACTGCACTAGTCTACACTTTACGGACACAGTGTGCAAAGTCTGGACTGTGTCTCATCAATATAAATTGCCTTCCTTCTTACATCTGGCAATAGTTCTACGAAGGGATACATGTATCATTCTTCTATCATGCCTATTAATTTCTGGCAATCTTCACAGCGCCTTCATTTGAATTCAAAGGAATTAATCACTTTTCTTGCACTCTTTGAAATCCATAGCTTCCTCATCACAATGACATTTACAGTCCACACTTGCACCAAGACAGTAGTTTCACGAGTCCATCATAATAGAACTCAACATCTTGTGGACAGAGCCCTATATTCATCACTCAAATGCCTGGTAAGAAGTAACTGAGGTGGTGATTGTTGTGATGACAGTCATATTGATGATGATGGTTGTGGCGAAAGTGACGATGGTTATAACAGTCATATTATGGTGGTGTTTGCTGTAATGGTGATGGTGATCATGGCATGGAGATTGTGGCTTAGGAATGCCAACTGATGTAATGTTTAAATTAAATCACTGAAGATAGGTTTTATTTTGCATTGACAAAATCTCATTGCAGTGTGCCATTCTTACAGCTGTAATTCAGAAACCTCTAGTGTCAGAATAACAAAACTTCACACAAGTGCGTGGTAAAGTATGAATGACCGCACTTTAGTTCACACTGCAACAAGTGTTTCTTCCTTAGGAGAAAAAGCAAGGCTTTACTTTTCAGCATTTTCTTCAGCAAACACAAAGCCTTTTCAAGTTCCTCATATTTTCCATAGCTTAAGCTTAGTCTTAAAACATTTGGTTTGGATAATATACAAGTATCCACAAATATTAAGGATAAAAAAACACACAGCAAATAACACTGCCAACAAAAGCAACAATAGCAGCCGTGGCTTACAGAGAGCAGTTATACTTCCATTCAGGCCTTGACTATGCTAAAGGCACACTAGCACTCCAGACGTGAAGGCCATAACTTGTTGGTCATATTCTACTACACCACCCACCTGAATAAGACTGTGTATAAAACTACAAACTGATAAAACGGGTATTAGAAATTATCAGTATTTGAAACTTATATCACATTCCAGGGCCTAAGAGAATGAGATGAAACTGGCAGGATAATATTAAAACAAAACTTAGGAAAATGGGTTGTGGCAATTCACAAAAATGTGTGACAGGGGTTTGTAGAGACACTGATGAACCTTCAAGTTCCATAACAACACGGAATTTGCTGAACAACTGAATATCTAGCAACTTCTCAGGAAGTACTCTGAATTACGATTTATGAAGTTCTGGCACCCACCCAAATATAAAGTGCAGTGAAATTACTTACACAAAATGATATGAATACACAACTGATACAAATAATAAACATTTCAAGAACATAAGAACTGATAACTAGTAAAACTTTATTTGATCTCAATATCAGAGTTCACAAGGCCCCAGATTTATTAGCAGGTACATAATATCTTCCTTTAAATAGTTTCAAAGTTTCAGTGTTATGTATTTAATTCCAATGAAATCAATTTCATCAGAACATCTTAATAGCTTATCATTATTTACTATCAAATATTACAGCCATTTTTGTATGTAAAATTATGAATTCCTAGACCATTTAATAACGTACTTAAAACAGAGAGGTTGGAAGCATCAATCATGATGGCAAGATGATCATGAATGAAATTTGGATTTGAGGCAGTCTATTTTAAGGCACTAGTTAGTTAGTTATTGGAGAGGGTGGGTTTCCCCATGCACTGAGACGACCAGTATTGGTCCATTGTGCTTCCCTCTATGATATTCTATCAGTCTCTATACCCTACTGATATTGGTGTGTATCATCAGTCCCGCCCGAGCCAGCGAGTTCGGCCTCTACTGGCTTGTCGGTATCTATAATGCTTCCCCTATCTATCAGAGGCGTTAGAGACTACTGTTGGGCGGGAAATGTCCTTGAATTTAGCTTAGTGACCTCCTTTGGAGATATGAGGTTCTTTTACGTGCTGTAAAGCTTTGACACCGAACCCATGGCTTAAAGTCCCTCCTGGAGGACTTGTTCCCTGAATTTTTTCGCCCTTAAAAATTCCACGACCTCCACCAGGTTTGAACCCGCATACCACGAGTCATGAGGTGGGAACGTTACCTCTAGACTACGGAGGCCACTTTTAAGGCACTAACCCAGTACTCAGCTGAAGACACATCATGGAAATCATAACAAACCTCTGTATGGATATGCTGTAACCCACAAAAATTCTAACTGGGTACCTCCTAAATACAAGCCCAGAAAGCTACTGCTCAGTTCCATTCTGAAATATAATATTACTGCTGGACATTTATCCCTCGTGTTATTTTAACCAATCAACTAGATTCTCCCGTGAGGAGAAATGAGAAACCAGACAGTTAACATTCTTCATGACACTGTTCCTACAGTAGCAATTATAAAATTATCATGCTTGAATACCAAGAAATGAGCACCCTCCCCCCCAATCTGTTTACACACTCACAGTGCAGCACTACCAGCTCTACTGTGCAGACTGAATACAGTGAGTAATAATTCAAAATGCAGAGAAATATGTTTTATTTATTAAAATAATAAGCTAAAGCAAATATATTACAAAAGGTTTGATTACATTAACAAAGCCCAGAAGAATGAAGTGGTCAAAACATCTAAATGATCCTATTAAAAATGAAAATGTTACGGCAGGTTGGATTGAGAATTCCCACAAAATGCTCAACTCTACCGAAATGGCCCAGGATCCGCTGTGAACATGCAGACACTGCACAAATTTGCCATAACCCTGAAGAACCTAATTTAATGATGGCTCCTGTAATATAACCAGACTCATCCTTGTGAGTGGAAAAATAATTTAGGCAACGGTAAAATCTTTTGATACCACAACAAACTTGACAGAAGTTCAATTTTGGCATCATACAAATTAGAGATTATAACTACAGGTAAATACCAAACTAAATTCACCTAACAACTTTTAGTATATATCCCAAGAGATGAAAATGAATTAATTTGAGGCCTACAAATAGCTGGCTAGCTGTGTTGGGAAAATAATTTATTTTATGTAACAATTTATTACAATGTCACAAGTTTATCTAATAAGACCGTCAATAACTAACCTAAGGAGCCTCATGGAAGCACACATATGAAATCTACAATCACTCTTATTGTAGACAGATCTAGACAATACATCACAGAAGTCAGTTACTATAGGTAAGATTTTTGAATGACTAAAGAAAACCATGTAAAGCCTCAGTGAGGACAGCCAGTCAGGTAATCAATTCTTGGACCCTCTCAACAAGAGCTATTTAAACCAGTTCAATTTTCAGAACAAATGATTTACATCAGTTTTTGACGTGCCCCCTAGTGTTATGAAGGAATACATTAAAAGTGTTACTTTTAAAGGTATGACTTTAAATTGAACCTACTTACCAATGGCTAAACTAAGACAGAAAGCTGGTACATCATTAGAGAGATACAGTTATCTCTAATTTTCAGAGCCCCTTCAAATATCTCCTTGGGTTCAGAAGTGAATAATGGTAAATGCCACATTTCAACTTCTTCACGTATTGTTTATGAAATACGTT